TCTCTGTGTTCCTGTCCCCGGACCTGCTATGTACCTCGGTAATCTTTGTGTTCCAGTCCCCGGACCCACTATGTACCTCGGTAATCTTTGTGTTCCAGTCCCTGGACCTACTATGTACCTCGGTAATCTTTGTGTTCCAGTGCCCGGACCTACTATGTACCTCGGTAATCTTTGTGTTCCAATCCCCGGACCCATTATGTACCTCGGTAATCTCTGTGTTCCAGTCCCTGGACCCACTATGTACCGTGGTAATCTTTGTGTTCCAGTCCCCAGACCCATTATGTACCGCAGTAATCTTTGTGTTCCAGTCCCCGGACCCATTATCTACCTCGGTAATCTCTGTGTTCCTTTCCCTGGACCTGCTATGTACCTCAGAAATCTCTGTGTTCCAGTCCCCGGACCTGCTATGTACATCGGTGATCTTTGTGTTCCAGTCCTCGGACCCATTATGTACCGCGGTAATCTTTGTGTTCCAGTCCCCGGTCCCACTATGTGCCGCGGTAATCTTTGTGTTCCAGTCCCCGGACCCATTATGTACCTCGGTAATCTTTGTGTTCCAGTCCCCTGACCTTCTATGTACCTCGGTAATCTCAGTGTTCCAGTCCCCGGACCCACTATGTACCGCTGTAATCTTTGTGTTCCAGTCCCCGGACCCATTATGTACCGCGGTAATCTTTGTGTTCCAGTCCCCGGACCCACTATGTGCCGCGGTAATCTTTATGTTCCAGTCCCCGGACCCATTATGTACATCGGTAATTATATTTACCTCGGTAATCTCTGTGTTCCAGTACCCGGACCCACTATGTACCTCGGTAATCTCTGTGTTCCTTTCTCCTGACCCGCTATGTACCTCGGTAATCTCTGTGTTCCAGTCCCCGGACCCACTATGTACCACAGTAATCTTTGTGTTCCAGTCCCCGGACCCATTATCTACCTCGGTAATCTCTGTGTTCTTTTCCCCGGACCCACTATGTACCGCAGTAATATTTGTGTTCCAGTCCCCGGACCCACTATGTGCCGCGGTAATCTTTGTGTTCCAGTCCCCGGACCCATTATGTACCTCGGTAATCTTTGTGTTCCAGTCCCCTGACCTTCTATGTACCTCGGTAATCTCCGTTTTCCAGTCCCCGGACCCACTATGTACCGCTGTAATCTTTGTGTTCCAGTCCCCAGACCCATTATGTACCTCGGTAATCTTTGTGTTCCAGTCCCCTGACCTTCTATGTACCTCCATAATCTTTGTGTTCCAGTCCCCGGACCCATTATGTACCTCGGTAATCTTTGTGCTCCAGCCTCCTGACCTTCTATGTACCTCAGTAATCTTTGTGTTCCAGTCCCCGGACCCACTATGTACCGCGGTAATCTTTGTGTTCCAGTCCCCGGACCCACTATGTACCTCGGTAATCTTTGTGTTCCAGTTCCCGGACCCACTATGTACCGCGGTAATCTTTTGACTACCGCCCACAAGGTGGGTACGGCGTGCACAATGAAGGTATTAAATTAACTGTTAAAGTGATATGAAAGGATGTAGGTGGAGAAGTCACACTAAGAGTTAGTACAGAGGTCAGCGGAGTATTCTAGGAGGAACCAGTTAAGATACACACCAAAGTACGCGACCAGACCTATTGTTAGTATACCTGGTGGGGGTTTCGAGGGTCAACGCCCCAGCAGCCCGGTCCATGATCAGACCTCACCGTGGATCAAGGCCTGATCATCTAAGTTGTTACTGCTGGCCGAATGCAAACCGACGTACGAGCCACAGCCCGGCTGGTCAGGTACTGGCTTTAGGTGTCTGTCTAACTATTGAAGAGAACCAGGGATCTATTGGTAATCACCCTTATGTATGCTGTGAGGCAGTTGAACAGTCTTGGGCCCCTGACACTTACCGTGTTGTTTCTTAGCTCACTCATGGCACCGCCTGCCGAGTCTTCTGTTTTCGTAAGGATTGATCTCCGTGCGTAGATTTGGGATTAATCTCTCAAGGATTTTCCAAGTGTATATTATGTATCTTTCTCATCTACGTTCCAAGTAATATAGGTCAAGGAACTTCAACCTTTCCCAGTAATTGAGGTGCTTTGAAAGTTTTCTGTATATTATGCAGGTCTGTAATTCCGCCTGCATTGTACAGGGCCGCTGGTGTATTGCAGTACTCCAGCCTATAGCGAACAAGCGATTTAATGAGAATCATTATTTGGCTTGGCATCCCTAGATTTAAAGATTCTCATTATCCATCCTATCATTTTCCTAGATGTGGTAGAGACATTGTTGTGATCTTTGAAAGTGAGTTTCTCCAACATTATAACTCCCAAGTCCTTTACATCAGTTTTTCACTCTATTGTGTGGTTGGAAATTGTTTTATACTCCAACCCAGTTGTTGTTTCCTCGAGTTTTCCTTAGCGCAGTAATTGAAATTTTACCTCAGTGAACTTCATATTGTTTTCAGAAACCCATTTAAAGACTTGGTTAATGTCTGCTTAGAGATTTGCAATGTCCTTAATGGATGCCATGCAATTTCTGGAATCGTCAGCAAAGGGTGACACGGTATTGTGGCTTACATCTCTAAGTCAGATATGAGGATGAGGTAAAGGATGGGAGCGAGTTAGTTAATATATTATGCACCCAAGACCCATCCTGTGGGCGGTAGTCAAAAGATTAGAGGTACATAATGGGTCCAGGGACTGGACCGCAAAGTTTTGATAGCTGAACAAGTTATAGTGGTAATGAATTATTTACATGTTTATATTTGGTTATAATCGTAGTGAGTTATTTATGCAGACATGAATTAGGTCACATACATGCTGTGCCTTGTGGAACAGAGATTTTCGCTGCAGCCGCCTCTGACTTTATTCTGTTTACTATTGCTCATCGTGTTCTGTTTGTTAGGAAATTATTGATCCATTAACCCACTTTTCCTGTTTTTCCTTTATGACGCATTTTGTGTGCTATTTTTGTATGCAACCGGCTCCAGAGTATGACCCTCTCTTTCCAAGCCTATGAGAGTGGAGTGTTGGAAACTCTGGCTGTGAGAGTTGCCTTGGGCACTCAGTGGTGCAACATACTCCTGATCTATAACCCGGGCAGGTCGGTTACACAAAGTGAATTTGCCTATTACTTTGGGCAACTCCGTGGTTGTACACTTGTGATAGACTTTAACGCAGGGCACCAGTTTTGGGAGCTGTCCATTTCTTTGGGATCGGTGAATCCCACAGGTAGGGCCCCGTTTCAAATCCTCCTCGCATCTCACCTTTCGTTGCTCACACCACCAGGTTTGGAGACTAGAGTGGATCCTTATACTGGGCGAATTTCTACCCTCGACCTCGTTCTTGGGTGTGGGTATTTTACTACAGCTGCTGTTACTGAAGGTCCCTTCATGGGGAGTGATCATCTTCCAATCTTTACTTCTACAAATGGAGCCTTAGCAGTGCCAGTGACGGCAGTTCGTTCACGGTGGAAAACCACCCAGGCCAGTTGGACAAACTATAATCGGATCCTCTCCTCTCTGATTATAGCCTGCCTCAGAACTCCTTGCTGAACGAGGCTGTCACGTCTCTTCAAGGGGCCATGCTTGAGGAGGGCTCGCGTTCATTCTGTCTCTCCGGGAGCTTCTCCCATTCAAGCCCCCGGGTTCCATGGTGGAATGATGAGTGACTCCGAGCAGGGAAGGGGCATCGGACAGCATGGGCACGGTGGTGGCGCCAACCCTCTCGGACTCAGCAGCTGGCTTACCGAAGGGCAGACGCTCTTTGTTGGCGAACCCCTCCTCCAAGTGAAACATGCATCTTGGGCTTTATTCTGTTCTTTTTCTTTTCGCACCTTTGCCAGTCAGGCATGGGGTTTTATCCACTCTATGTTGGGATCACGTTCTGTAAGCACTTTTCCCCTGTTGGGGGAAGGAGCAGCACCACTCTTACCCTGGGACAAGACTGAGTCATTTGCAAATTTCATCGGTCCTATGTTTGCTCCTCCTCCTCCTCTACCCTCTAAGAGTCTAAGGTGATCAAATGGGGCCCTTTGCCACTTGCCGTACCAGAGGTTCACTGCCAGGTGCTGGCATCTCCCTTTAGCTCCCATGAACTGCAGCGGGCACTTTCCCAACTTTCTTCCCCTTCTTCTCCAGGGGAGGATAACTTACCTTATTCATTCATACTACATCTACCTCTCTCTTGTACAGATGCTATGCTAGAGGTTTTCAATGCCAGCTGGTCGTGTGTCTTCCCTGATGTGTGGAAGCGCTCTCTCCTGGTTCCGATTCTAAAGCCGGGCAAGGATGATACCCAACCAGGCTCTTACCGGCTCATTGCTTTACTGCCCTGCTTGGGTAAGGTGCTGGAACGACTGGTGGCTACCCATCTCTCTTGGTGAACTGAGGAACATGGCCTCCTGCCGGATAACCTGGTGGCTACCCATCTCTCTTGGTGAACTGAGGAACATGGCCTCCTGCCTGATAACCCGAGTGGCTTCCAAGGTCAATCCACCCTTGACCCTTTGCTTCAATTTACACAGCTCGTGCACACTTCATTTGAGTGCCGGGAGTTTCTTTTGGCTGCATTTTTGGATCTAAGCAGAGCATTTGATTCTGCATCACACACAGCGATTGTTTTCAAACTGGCCCGCATGGGGGCCGACAGGAGCTCCCCTCTGCTCCCAACATATTATCAGCTAAGTTACAGTAGTCATGAGCTATTTATAAATTTATTTAGTAATAGTAGCAATGAGCTTATGCACAGTGAATTTGGTCAAAGACAAAGAGACTGTGAAGAATATTCAGAGTTACAGAGGCACACTGTGTATGAGTCTAGCAAAGGTGCTCTGTTAATGAAACAAATTACAATGGCTATGGGTTATTTACAGTAGGTAAAGACAGGGAGTTTCCCAATAATTCTTGATAATGTCATTGTGAATTACAGTAAATATTTAGCCATTTCTTGAGAATTTTTGAGTGTTTCTGAATTCCTGATTTGTTTCACATACAAGTATATAATGATGCAACAAACAAAAACAAAACAAACGACTTTATTTCTTTCTGAAATATACAAAATGTAGTTTACATGTAGTTAAATATTGTTAAACACAGAAAAAACCACTAGCATGCTGTGCACTTTCAGGCAGACTACATCAGTTGGTGATACAAACCTCCAGAGGTATTTTTCACCCATGACCAAGCTGGACAGTGATTACATATAAGAGTCAGCTGATTGTGTATAATATGCATTGTATATGTGGTTCCTCCTGTATAATAGAATAATAGATAATGCAAAAGTTGTGAACAAGCGATACAAGATGCAAAACAACCACGAGGGGAGTTGAATGATAGCTGTAGGCCTTTCGTGTTACAATCAACACATCATCAGAAGCTTGCAATGTTGCAGAAAAGAGGAGGTTGTCCAAGCAAATACGATCACAGGAAGCGTAAAGGCGCTTCCGTGATTGTATCTGCTTGGACCTCCTCCTTTGTGCAACATTGCAAGCTCCTGATGATGTGTTGATTGCAACATGAAAGGCCTAGAGCTATCATTCAACTCCCTGTGGTGGTTTTGCAGAATAATAGATAAGTTTGCCCAAAATGTTGCATTACATGCAAACTACATAATTTCCATACTGCATAAAAAGACAGAAAAATCTGAATTAAATTTTAATTTTAATTTGAGATAGATTTACAGATGTCAGTCTCACTCTGTCTTGAACTTAGGAAACTTTCAAGAGTTTTTTTTACCTTATTATTGCTCTCAGATTACTAGTAGACACCTCCAAGTTATAATTATATTAGAAGGCAATGTGTAAGGGAATCCAGAATTTTGGGGGGTCAATGAATTTAGAAATTAATGATATGTGTCCATCATATGTTTAAATACTACAAAACAAAGCTTTCCTGTACCTGCCTCTAAGGTCCCTCATAGTTTAATGAAAAAATATATAGTAGTATATGGGTAAGTTTTTAGTGAAATACCTACCTTAAGCTAATCTCACACTATGTGCATTCTAAATAAAATATTTTAAAAAGTACTGTAAATGTAATTGCAATTAAATAATGCCTTAATTATTAATTGTTCTTTATTCATTTTTATAATTTAATTATACAAATTTGTAAGATGAGGAGTTTTATAGAATAATTTACATATAAGAATAAATAATGTAATAAAATCGAAATAACATGGCACTCATACAAGCTCTGTCAACATTATTCATAATTTTGTTAATCATGTGCCTAGCTTTAAACATAAGTCTTTTGCAGTCAGGTATCAAAGAATTCTAAGCAATGTCTTATTTCCACCGGGTCCTGTAATTCTCTTCTCCAAGCTATGACCCACAACAGTTGGTAAACACCCAGGTACCTACTACGTGAACAGGGTAGCAGATGTAACGAAACATGATTGTTTCCACTTCTGCTCTGGATCGAACTCTGGCCCTTCAGTGTGCCAGCTGAGGCTACTACAACCCAAGTTACAAGACACTTGTACAGACCTTTTATTAATATTTGATGACTAGAAGCCCTCACATTGAAGAATCATATTTAAGTTTTTACAGTATTATCACCCATGCTGTACATTACAAACATAAACAATTCACTCAACTGGCTTGAAGCCAACAAGCGCTTTTACACTCTACTTCAGAAGTTGTCTAATTAGCAAGTGTTGCTGCAGAAACACCACAAAAACATTTGAGTAAAACAGGGTTTGTGTGTGAGGGGCTTGGAGTTCCAGCAAGCGTGTGTTAGTGTGTTAGAAAGGAGCGAGTGGAGACAAATGGTTTTTAGGACTTGACATGCTGCTGGAGTGTGAGTAAGGTAACATTCATGAAGGGATTCTGGGAAATCGGCAGACTGGACTCGAGTCCTGGAGGTGGGAAGTACAGTGCCTGCACTCTCAAGGAGGGGTATTAATGTTGCAGTTTTATAACTGTAGTGTAAGTGCACCTCTGGCAAAACAGTGATGGAGTGAATGATGATGAAAGTTTTTCTTTTTCAGGCCACCCTGCCTTGGTGGGAAATGGCTGATGTGTTAAGAATAATAATAATAATAATAATAATAATAAGATAAAATATCTAAATCAGAATGTTTTAAAACTTAACCATTTCACATCAGAAAAATCCTATATATCTTATTGATTAATATATTAATATTCTAGTTTCAGACATTACACAGGAAGAAAACAGACTGGTAGACTGTATTTTCTAGGGTTGGACAAATGCTCATAGTGGAATTTCCTGTGATATTAATCTGGAAACTATAAAATATAAAGGAATCAATAGCAAACTTCTATGATGGACGGAATAATTTTTGTATTGAAAGATAAATGTTAGTAGTGACAAGAATAAAAAAAAGTCTTCATGGGATAATGTCACTAGTGGAGTTGCACAAACAGCAACTAATTTAATTTTTCAATCATTTTTAAGTACTCTTATTATTTCATTAAAACTGCCAAAAACCATGATAAAATTTTGATTAAGGAATTTTTTTTTGTATACCTGTTAATACCACATATTTTTATAATAAAATATGAAAAGTTTACAAACGCTTAAGAAATATCAAAATAGTCAGTGGCAGCAGTAATTTTTTTAATTTATGTACATGACCTGATAGAAGAAATAAAAATTTTTTTACAGAAGATTAAACATCTTATACAAAATAGGAAAGTTTAGTTTAAAGCCCTACAAGAAAATACAGGATAAATAAACTGAGCAAGTAGATAATGGAAATGGGAGAGTAAAAACAAGACCTACAAAGGCTATAGATTGTATAACAGTGTCTTGAGAATATGAGATAAAGAGAAGTTATCTGGTGGGTGACTATGAACAACAGAAATAAAAATCTGAATCTGAATAAATGTAATACCGACAAACTCATATACATATGCTAGTTTCAAACTTGAAAGTAGCTGTTTAGATATACTATAATTCATATGACAAACTAAATATTATAGGTAAAAAAGAGACATATGAACTGATAAAGACAAATATTAAGAAAACATTTTGCCATGAATGTCTTTTTCAGTCCTAAACATTTTCTTAATAAAATGTTTTAATCAAGTGCATAGATAATCACTTGTAACATGGTAATAAGCCAGATGCTAGATATACTTGTATATAATTTCCTGTATGTCTTGAAGTGTACATACGTTTAACTAGACAACTTCAATTCTTGTTACTCATATGTATCTTTGGTATAACAGAAAACAATACGGATGGTATTATATACACCGAGAGGTGTATATCTCTTAGTGTATATACAATGAGAATTTATTATAAACCCTATTTTAGGTACTAAAGTACTGTACCTGTACTCTTGACTTATACAAATTACATGCAGTATTAATGGAACTTACATAATCAATTTTAAAGACAATGAATGAAGCAGTATGGTACAGTACTCCCTTCACAAGCAGTAGGGCATTAATACAGTAATTCTTAAAATTATAGATACAGTATTAGAGACATTAACTGCTCTAATCATGCTAATACAAATATACTGAAAGACATAATTCAAAACAAATTACAAAGTAATAATGCAAAACAGCCCAGAGACAATAGTTTTCATAAATATTGTAGTGAGGAGCTCACTATAAAATGGCAGATAGTGAGGCAAATAACTTTCATAATAAATATTATTCTTGTGGGTTTAGCACTTAGTTATGATTATAATAATAATACATATAAGGTTATAAAAGGGCATGAAAGATTAAAGAGGATTTTGTTTGCTTCTGCTATATGGAAAACAAGAGGACCCAGCGGTTAACTGAGAAAAGAGAGAGAGTTGCATGGGCACTATGAAATTTTTCTTCAGAAAGTGGTAGATCAGTGGAGTGAACTACAAGAGGAGGCAAGTACTTCGACTACTGGAAATTTTAAAATAACAAAGGTGGTATCATTTCGAAAAAAAGAACTAGTTGGAGCTGCTGTGAAGTGTTTAGTAGGTCATGCATAAAAAAGTAGGAATAGTAATGAGCCTAGGGCACTGCCCTGAGATTATTAATATTATAATCATAAGTAAGTGCTAAACCCACAAGGGTCATACAGCACTGCAGGGTAGGGTGTGCTAAAGGTTTAATATGCTTGATCAGAGACTAGCAAGGGAGGAGAGTATAACAGAGGTCGAGTCAGTAAGGGCGGTGAGAAATGCTAAAGGAAGTACATATAATCAAAGTTTGTGTAATAAATCTGTTGCTGTCAAAAAGTCAAAGACATTGTGTCAAAGGTGGGACTGCCCCAAGATACCCCAAGGTTAATGGGTTAATAGTTTAAGTACAGTAATGCCATTTACAGATACATGTTGGCAGCTGTCAAGGAGGAAGGATTTGATGGTATGTATGGCTTCTGACTCCATAATGCTAAGGTTTTAAGAGAATATCATGATTAAATGTAATAAACTGATTTAGCAGAAATTCTTTATCTTTTAGAGATATGTAGTTTGTGTAGAAAATTTTTATTATCATCATAAGGAAGAACTAAAGCACCTGTAGTATTTATATTACTGCATTATTTATACTGTTTCTAAATATTTTTTTAGTTATGAATCTAAATGTTTGCTTGTGCTTTATCATGTCAAAATGTGTTATATGTCACTGGTAGATTAGAAATTGTCCAGTATTTTATTTCTCTTTCAAGGGAAGCTCTTCATCACCCCTTGCAGTCCTCCCATCCACATCACAGTTGCTTTCTGGAAGCACAGTATACCTTCCTCTGTTTATCAAACAGTTTTGGATATTCTCATCACCCCATTTTGTCTCCGGATATTGACCATGGAACTCAAAAGGAATAAGCGACTAGTGATGCTGGAGGTGTCAAGAAAAAAAAATATATAAAACTAGACAATTTCTGAGATAACTGAGCTTTAGGATAAGCATGCCATTGGTCTCAGAGAATAAATCACTCATACAATAAGAGACAATGAGAAGAAAATAAGAGCTAGTGAAATGAGTAATCCAAGATTCTGACCTGCTGAAAATAATGACAAACAGGTCAATACAGCTGAGTACACAGAAAAGTGCCCCACCCAGTGGTCAGATAATAAGGAAAAAAAAAAAAAGACTTATCTTACTACAAAACTGTATGAGCAGGAATGGAAAGTCTTCACAAGAGTGTACATCTAGTGCTGGATAATTTGAGAGATTTAAACACCCATGCATCAGCTGATTACATTCCCACAAAAAATTTCCTTGATGAAATGGCTGTCAATAACTTACATTAGCAAGCAAAAGTAATTTGCACCCAGATTCAAGGCAGCAAAGCATTTTAGCAGTTTGCAATTGCACACCAGTAAAATGGGAGTTTAAATGCAGGCCTATGTTCAGTTCATGTACATACTACCGATGCTTTAAAAGAGTAAGGCAAAATCACTTTGCCTGTCATATGGCACAATAACAAGGCAGCTTGGATGACAAGCAGTTTGTTGATTGCTTCAAGCATCATTTTATTTCTTCTCCAAAAATGTAGCTGGCCAGAAAGAACTTTGAGTTTATTAAAATTCTTCTAATCCGATAATTCCTGGCAATAATCCTAAAATCTTGCACTCTCTAGATGCTCTCATTCCACATTATTATTATAATCAAAAAGAAGCGCTAAGCCACAAGGACTATACAGCTCTCATTCCACAGAGTATTGGCCATTTGCGATTTGTCCAGGCTGAGTCTAGTACTGAAGATAATGATGATGACTTGAAGTTGTATGAATACAAAAATACAGAGAGTGCTGCAGCCAGATCATAGATAAATACCCAGAAACGACTTCTAAACCAACCAGTCACTGAAGAGACAGTGAACTCCAGTGTGGTCTAAAGCGTGCTTTGAAGCACTACAACACAACTTCCATCCACTGAGATGAAAAAATATTACCAGAAAAAGTGTTACGTATTTTCTAATACCACCAGAAAAACAGGGAAATGCAGGGACACATGATTCATTTTTAAAACTTGCAAAACTCCACTGTGTATGGAACCCTGCTGTGAGGAGTTTAATGAACTTGAGCAACTGTAATTGGCATAGTAAACAGCGAGTGTATACTGTGTACAGTGTATAATGCATATAATATACAAGAAAATTAAAAACAGAGTACCGAGTGAACAATTTTTTCAATAAAAATTTTGTTCAAATAATAAATATTTAGTTACTGAATACTAAATATTTTGTAAATGTGGTCTGAAAACATATACATGTATACTAATCACATATGTATGTTTTGAAAAGATAAAATTGAAAAAACAAAAAATGACACCAACAGTATGCTCATGTGGGATGCAACCATGTTACCATATGAAGGTCACTTCCAAACAACTATTTCTTGGTAAGTTTCAACCCAATTTTCACTTTTTTTTTAAACGTGTAAAATCAAGGCCGATTTTTTGGTAAAGAAAATTCCAAAAATATTTTGGCAATATAATTTCATTTCACCCCAAGTGGCAGTTTTAAGGGTTAATGGAATAGTATAGCACTGGGCCTGCTGCCTGTGTGGACCATGGGTTCAATTCTCAATCAATTATTCTGTTTATTCATGGACAGTCCTTCATTATGACTTGTGCTAGTGGCAGTGGAGATGTTATCTTTAAAAGTAATGTGTAGTGTAAATATCATGCAGAGAATTTGAAGCAGTGTGGAGTCACCAAAAGTATAATTCAGAGAGCTGAGGAGGGGTTTTTGAGGTGATTTAGGCATTTTAAGAGGATGGAGAGGAATAGAATGACAGAGGGTGTATAAACCTGACCCGGAATATAGAGGTAGGGGTCATCCTAGGAATGGTTGGAGGGACAGGATAATTTGAGTTTTAGTGGCTTGAGCATCCTGTAGGCTTGTGTGACCGTGTTAGATAGGAGTGAATAGAGACAATTGGTTATTGACATGCTGTTGGAGTGTGAGCAAGTTAGCAGCCATGAAAGAATTTGGGGTAAACTTTTGGCCAGTCTTAACCTAGAGGTGGGAAGAGCAATGCCTGCACTCAGAACAAGGGTTGAGGATGTTGCAGTTAGAGAGCAATACAAATGACTTAATTTCATTTTATGTACAGTAAACTGTTATATTACACGGTAGTGATGTTCCTGAAAATGCCGTGTTAGGTAAATTCGTGTTAGATAATCTGAAGAACTTATGGGAAAAATAGGATTACATTCCTGGGACCCCCAAAAAAGCCAAACAACTTTTTTTTAGACCTCCAGATCTTACAAAATAAAAATGAATATGTAATTGTTGCTCATTGTCATAATGTATTATGTTGTTTTTATTGCTAAAGACTACAAATGCAACAGAAATAATAGCATTTCTCACCTTAAATTGTGGGTACTGGCATTTGTCAGTCATTGTGAAGAGAGTGGAGAGTCATGCTGTGGTCCTACTGGGCTGAGGTGGATGGTAGAGGTTCTGGTACTGAAGTTGATGATTGTACTGGAGTGCATTAATTCTGTAATGGATCTCTGGGCTATTTTACCCTGCAGTACATTATACAACTAACTGTAAGTCATAAGCTGCTCTAGACCCTGTGTCAGAGCACTGCTTCTAGATTTATCAGAGTCCTTTTCAGTGAAAAAGTCTAACTTAGAGTCAGTAAGTCAATTCAATCAAGTCAGTCTGTCAGTTTATTCAGGTAGTTGTGATCTAAGGGTCATTCTTTTCAGATGAAAAGATCACAACACAATTCACAAACACAGCTAGCTCTGAGAAGAGAGTCGTACAAGATGCATATGCACAGAGAACTGAACTCTGTTAAGTTAATTTTACAAAGTGTTGTATAAAAGTATGCCACAATTTTTCAACAGTGCAATAGTCAAAAGTGTAAAATAAATGTGTGTAATATAACGGTCTACTGCAGTTATTTCCTGACTGTGTGGTATCCTCATATTTTGGATATTTTGAGGGTTAAAAAATCACCCAAGAAATGCAGATTAATTAATGTTTGGTGAATGTGTTATTCTCAAAAAAAAAAAAAAAAAAAAAAAAAAAAAAAAAAAAAAAAAAAAAAAAAAAAAAACTTTTCCTTTGATATGTACAAGGTGGATATTTGAGGCCATATTTAATTCTACTTTTTTTCCTGGTAAAAGTTTTGATATTAATATATGTTTTATCAATTTTTCAAATAAAGAAACATTTATTTGGCAAAAAATGTTTTAATTTTCATTATCTGCCCACATCTCCCACCCTAATTTTCATTATCTGCCTATACCCACCTACCCACCCAAATTTCAATTATCTGCCCACATTTCCACCCCCTTTAGGTCAGATAATTGTTTTGTCACAAACAAAGTGGGTTACTTAAGAAAAGACTGCTTGATTATGTGCCCCTTCATGTTTTCAATTATGTCTTTCATTGTACTGCAATGCAAATATGCTCAACACATCATTCACTCTGTCTCACTTTCGCTATCATTCTCCGTGTCTTCAGAGAACATTTCATCAATGTACCAGCTAGGTAGAACCTCTGTATCTGGAGAATCTTTCATCTTGGTGCAATAGATGTTGCCCTTTTCCTCTCGATAAAATCGATACACACATTCAGGCTCTTCCAAGCACTTCTTTTTCACAAATGCCAAAAACTTGACCAAGAAGTTGATGCATACGTCAGGCTCCCACTCTCCCTGCAACATTACAATGTATCAGTTAGAATGCTTTGACATTAAATGAAGCAAATTGGAGATACATTTCCCTGTATTAATGGAGCAAACTGATATATTTACTATATTGATAAAGTAATCTGGAGACATATTTTCCTGTATTACTGGAGCAAATAGAAAACATATCTTACTACATTAACCCCTTCACTTTCACAACCCCAAATTCTGAGGTGTCTCCTGGTGTCGCAAAATTTCCGAAAAAAAAAGAATAATTTTTTAGGAAATGATAGAGAATCTTTTCCCGATTGTAATGACACCAAAAGAACGAAATTTGATGGAAAACTGACGGAATTATGCTCTCGCGAAGTTAGCGACCTCGGCGATATTTACGAATCTGCGATTTCGCCCAATTTGAGCCCTATTTTCGGCTAATTCCACTGTTCCAGTCGACCAAACTCATAGCTATTTCTTTAGAACTCCATTTTTTTCTATCGGCTGAGTACAAGAAACTGCCCATTTACTGATTCCAACTACCCAATAACGTGGTAGAAATTTGCAATTTGGCCAATTTCACGAAAATTAAAAAATATGACAATTTCAAAATAGGGTCCAGAATTAACAATGCAGACATTCCTGGTTCTAAAATACCATTTTCTTTGTTCATCGGTCACGTCTCCAGGCCTCTCTGATATTACTCTTGCTTTCTATTTTGAATTTTTATTCAAACAAAAAATAGAAGATTTACTGTTCTGCAGACTACTGCAATATTGTAATAATTGTATAAATAATGTCAACCCATTTATGACTGCATATTAGAATGGCTACTTGGACATTTATTGGAAAATGACATCATTTGTTTACTTTTGAACACTGGCAAAAATCAAACATTTCCCCTACTTTTCAAGGTTCTTTTCCTAGTAAAACCAATCAAAATCACCTCTATTTCTATAATATGTTTTCCATTTTATCAAATGAGACCAAGAAAACAAGAATGCAACCATAAATACTATACAAAAATAGACCACAAACTCAGCATTTTACCCCGTAAACGGTCCAAGCAGATCTATGTTCACATGCGTAGTGCTCCAAAAGTAGATCTACGTTTTTTTTACATATTTTCAAACATAACAAAAAAACAAAAGTAGATCAAAGTCTTTTACACGTTTTCAAATGTAAAAAAAGAAAAAAAAAGATCTACTTCTTTTACATACTTTCACATGTTGAAAAGACGTATATATACGTTTCGACCGTTTACGGGTTAATTAAAAAAAATGATCACTTTTTTTTTCTCATTATGCACTGCATGCTGCAGGATTTTTTTATATGGTGCACACTGACCACACAGACCCATTCTCTCACATGTGGGCCTACCAGCTTTCTCCTGCCTGATTTGAAGCCGCTAGAATTTATGAGTGTATACGTCAAACACGGTGGCTCGTAAGACATACATATACGACCGAAACAGTCAAAGGGTTAATGGAGTAAACTAAAGATGTATTTCACTGTATTACACTAACAAAGCAAACTGATGATATATTTATATTAAAGCTGCAAACATAAAACTTATGCCAAACATTGCAAATATTCAACTGATAAAGGTGAAATATAAATCTGTTTGCAATTAACATATTCATGAATAAACACCAAACTCACAGGTGTCATAAAGTGACTAGAAAGCTGAAAGTAATCAGGTTTGACTCAAGAGAAGGTAGCTCTTCCTTGAATCAAATCTCATTATATCACCATCGTCAAGACACCTTCCTTGAAGGGACAACTACAGTGGCACCTCGAGTTATGAACTTAATTTGTTCCAGGAGGCTGTATGAGTGCCGATACCGAACGAATTTGTTCCCTTAAGGAATAATGTAAATTAGATTAGTCCGTTTCAGACCCCCAAAAATACATTTACAAAAGCACTTACAAAAATACACTTACGTAATTGATATTGTTTTAATGTCACCTTTGCACCATTTATAACATTTCTGGTAAATTTTCAAATGTTTATACGGTAGTGTACTGCATACTGTAATAAACAGAATAGAGGAAATCAGTTCTAATATACATTATTTAGGTATCCATACTGGTCAGAGTATGCATACTTAGTCTGAGTCATCAGTAAACAGGACGTCACTAAGTGAAGAGAGGCTGTACGTCATTCACAAAACATGTATACACAACAATGTAAACATGAACAGGTCCAAGTTACACATTTTTTTTTTTAACACGTCAGCTGTCTCCCACCGAGGCAGGGTGACCCAAAAAAGAAACACTTTCGCCATCATTCACACACAATCACTGTACTGAGGCCCTCAGATAGGACAGTTCAGATGTCACCCCAAACAACCAATATACCAAACCTCTTCTTTAAAGTGCAGGCATTGTACTTCCCACCTCCAGGACTCAAATCCAGCTAACTGGTTTCCCTGAATCCCTTCACAAAATATTATCCTGCTCACACTCCAACATCTCGTCAGGTCCCAAAAACCATTTGTCTCCATTCACTCCTATCTAACATGCTCACACATGCCTGCTACTGCATGTTCACACACACATACAGTGGTATCTCAAGTTACGAGCTTAATTCGTTCCAGAAGGCTGTTCGAGTGCCGATACCAAATGAAACTGTTCCCATAAGGAATAATGTTAATTAGATTAGTTCATTTCAGACCCCTAAAAATACACTTACAAAACCACTTGCAAAAATACACTTACATAATTGTTTGAGTTGGGAGCTGTTCGAAACTTGAAGTACCACTGTACAGTGGACCCTTGGCTAACTATATTAATATGTTCCTGAGAGCTCATCGTTAGATGAAATTATCGTTAGCCGAATTAATTTTCCCCATAAGAAATAATGGAAATCCAATTAATCCGTTCCAGACAGCCAAAAGTATTAAAAAAAGCTATTTTTTTTTCATGAAATATACATTTCCCTACAAAGAAAACAATGAGACATGCACAATAACTATATAAATAAATGTTAAAATGACACTTACCTTTACTGAAGAGTACTGATGAGCGATGAGACACTGTTTTTCTTGAACACTCTGGGATTTTCAGAGTGATACATGAGTAAAGGCTTCACTTTGCAATCCCCACTAGCATTACAACAAAACAAGAAAGTTACCCTGTCTTTCATAGGCCTGTGTCCTGGGAGTGCCTTTTCCTGCTGAATAATGTAGGTTCTGTTTGGCATTTTCTTCCAGAACAGGCCTGTTTCATCACAATTGAACACTTGTTGGGACTGGAATTTTTCAGCTTCGCCATGCCTTATCACACTGTGTATGCCACTACGATTCTTATATCTCTCAAACCAACCTTTGCTGGCCTTAAATTCACCAATATGAGCACTAGTTCCAGACATTTTTTCCTGTTCACCTGTGCGTTAGTCAACTGGTGTGGGTCGCATATGTATACACACCCCTCTGGGTTTTCTTCTATTTTCTTACTAGTTCTTGTTTATTTCCTCTTCTCTCCATGGGGAAGTGGAACAGAATTCTTCCTCCATAAGCCATGTATGTTGTAAGAGGTGACTAAAATGCCAGGAGCATGGGGCTAGTAACTCCTTTTCCTGTATACATTACTAAATTTATAAAGAGAAACTTTCGTTTTTCTTTATGGGTCACCCTGCCTCAGTGGGATACGACCGGTGTGTTGAAAGAAGTAATAGTGATGCATGTGTAGTGCAGGTGTTGTGACCTGGTATTTGTGTATTATGTCTGATGACACAAACAAAAGTGGACGTATGGTGGTCTATTGCCAGTCTTGGCCTGGTAGACAATGTATACATTGAGCACTGCAATGTCCAGAAAATGGGAAAAAATTTTATAAGCCATGTATATCACATTCGTCCACCAAATGCATATTGGCAGTGTAATCCATGACAGCAGCTGGTCTCAGAATGGGTTCAATAGTGGCTATTTGCCATTCCAGTTTCTTTCATTTCATGCTGATGAACTGATGTCAACAACGTCACATCACTGGTGGCTCACGTGGCCTGGTGACTAAAGCTCTTGTTTCACATGGCAAGGGTCTGGGTTTGATTCCTGGTGAGGGTAGAAACACTAGGCATATTTCCTGACACCGGTTGTCTATGTTCCTCATCAGTAAAATGGGTACCTGGGTGAGTCAACTGGTGTGGGTCACATCCTGGGACAAAACTGACCTAGTTGCCCGAAATGCTCTGCATAACAAGCGGCTTTCTATGTAGTAATATGTCAATGATGTCAGCTAGGCCTGTATACCTTGTACCTGGGACAAAACTGACCTAATTTTCCCAAAATGCTCTGCATAACAAGTGGCTTTCTATACACAGTGGACCCCCGCCTTACGAACGCATCGCATTACGTTAAATCCGCCATACGAAGCATTTGAACGCAAAAATCTTGCCTCGCCTCGCGATAAAAAACTCGCCTTACGTGATTCGTCTGGGACGCGTCCCACGTGTGGCCTCAGCACCAGTGTTTACAAGCCAGCCAGTGTGGTTGCATCTACTTATATATTCGGTACATTTCACATTATCCCAGTGTTTTTAGTGCTTGTAACTGCAAAATAAGTCACCATGGACCCCAAGAAAGCTTCTAGTGCCATCCCTGTGGTAAAAAGGGCAAGAATTAGTATGGAATTGAAAAAAGAGATTAAGGAAATGTGTGCAAAGTGGGTTGAACTGCAAACTTTTACAGATGAAAATCACCCTGACACAGCTACTGCAAGCAGTGTTGGCAACCTGTACAATGACAATGTTATGGTCCATTTTAAGAAAGTCTTAAAGGAATGGGAGGTACAGAGCTCTATGGACAGATTTATTGTGCAACAGAGGTCCAGTGACTCAAGCTGGTCCTAGTGACATTAAAAGAAGAAAGGAAGTAACCCCAGAAAATTCGGAACACCTCTGCAAAAACAGTGATAATGAGTGAGTGTGGTGAAAGTGTTGAATGATGATGAAAGTATTTTCTTTTTGGGGATTTTCTTTCTTTTTTGGGTCACCCTGCCTCGGTGGGAGACGGCCGACTTGTTGAAAAAAAAAAAAAAAGTGTCATGTATTCTACTCTTAGTAGAGTAGTAATTGTGCATGTCTTCTTCAGTTTGTGTGTATTAAAATTAATATTTCATTTGGCAAAATTTTTTTTTTTTCATACTTTGGGGTGTCAGGAACAGATTAATTTGATTTCTATTACAGTGGACCCCCGCTTAACGATCACCTCCAAATGCGACCAATTATGTAAGTGTATATATGTAAGTGCGTTTGTACGTGTATGTTTGGGGGTCTGAAATGGACTAATCTACTTCACAATATTCCTTATGGGAAAAAATTCGGTCAGTACTGGCACCTGAACATACTACTGGAATGAAAAAAGTTCGTTAACCGGGGGTCCACTGTATTTCTTATAGGGAAAATTAATTCGGCTAACAATAATTTCGGCTTACGATGAGCTCTCAGGAACGGATTAATATCGTAAGGCTGGGGCCCACTCTAGTAATATGTCACTGATGTCAGCTAGGCCTGTACACCTTGTACATGTACTTGTAGAAATAAAGATTATTATTATTATTATTATTATTATTATGTTTGTCATTCCACCGATATGCTGTGATGCCACTGGCATGAAACACCTGCACCTCACATGTCTGCACTGTTTATTCTGGAGCCTGTTTTAAAATTGGAATATTTTAAAATTTGTGTGAAATTGGCCTAATTATCAATTTCTGATCAGTTTATTGGATAGCTGAAATAGATGATTAGGCAGTTTCTTGTTCTTAATCGATAAAACGGAAGATGTATTAGTGAAATAGCTAAGAATCTGGTCAACTGGAACAACATAATTGGCCTAAAATAGAATTCCAAGTGGGCAAAATTGCCAATGCATAATTACTGCTGACACAGCAAAATTCACAAAAGTGTAATTTCATCAGTTTTCCATCAAATTTTGTGCGTTTGGTTTCATTAACTTCGGAAAAAGATTCTCTGTCATTTCATAAGACTTTTTTTTCTTTTTCTTTTTTTTTTTGAAATTCTTGGACACTGAGAGCAATTCTCAGATCAGGGATCTGGACAATGAAAGGATTAAACCAAAAAATATGGTCTCAATTTTTTCCCATCATGCACTGTGTAGAGCAGGATTTTTTCTTTTATATGGTGCACACTTAACGCATAGGACCAGTCTCTCATATATAGGCTCAAATTTACTGCTCATAGCTTATCTGAGTGAGCTGAGCTCATCACATAGTCCTATGGCACTGACCCAGAGCTCAAAGCCATAGTAATGCTACATGGACCTTGAAAGGGTTAATTTAAAATCTAAGTGGGATTAGATAAAAAATATTAAGGCCTGCAAAAGCATCTTTGATTTTAACATTGGTGTCTATATAGGAAAATTTATTCTGAATGCTGTATACTTAATAATACTAATACTATCTTTATTTCCTACAAGTATATGTACAAGGTATACAGGCCTAGCTGACATCAATGACATACTTCTATATAGAAAGCCGCTTGTTATGAGAGCATTTCAGTCAAATTAGGTCAGTTTTGTCCCAGGATGCACCCCACACCAGTTGGCTAACACCTAGGTACCCATTTTACTGATGGGTGAACATGGACAACAGGTGTAGGGAAACATGCCCCATGTTTCCGTCCCTGCCGGGAATCACAAGTGGGGACCTGTTGTAATATATTGTACATATTGTGGGAGTCTTTCAGTCAATCAAATTCTATAATGATATCTTTATAACACAATGCACTATATGTATACAGAATATTATAAACCATAACTGTCTTTGGTGATTGTAAGAGACAATAAGTTAACAAGTCTGTTGTGATCCAACAACCTACATATGTACGGAGGAAACTTAACTCTATCTAGTGACTGTCAGACTACCAGGTATTTATTTTTTTACATACCGGCTGTCTCCCACCGAGGCAGGACAACTCAAAATAAAAAGGAGGAAATATATTCACCATCATTTAGTCAATTACTGTCTTTCCAGAAGTGTGCTAACATCACCATTTAGGTGCCCCTCCAAATTACAGCATCCCCCATCCCTCAAAATAATGTAACCACTGTACTTCCTACCTGATGGACTCAAATTCTTGCTAACCAGTTTTCCTGAGTCCCTTCATAAATGTTACCTTGCTAGTCTAAAAGAAATAAATATGAGATGATAAATAAGACAAAGTGAAGAAGTATTAAGAAAACAGAACTGAAAGAGCAATGCAATGATTTGAAAAAAATACAGACATGAATATAACTTTTAAAAAAGGATATTAAGCATACATCACATATCTCAGGGAGTTCATCAGTTTCATAGTGTTTTAATGTGTGTACTATCCCACTGTCATTTCTGAAGCCAACAAGAATCCGAGGAATTCCAGTCAATATGTTTTCTATCCACCACTGGCAAAGTTTAAACCTGTAGAAAAGAAAAAAGAAAAGAGAATGAACCACATATGCAGAAATAAAAAAAAAGTAATTATTAAAATATAATGATTTCTTAGTGTGTCTCCTTGAAGGAGACACACTGATGCTAGTGAAGAGCTCTTGATCCAAGAAATTGAAGCTACTCTTCCCTTCCTTGTAAGAAGCTTACTTTAGCCTTGGATTCCCCTTCAAACATAACACTTATACCTAACAACAGCTACATCCAACTAAAAATTAAAACTGAGGTCTTGTACCTGTGGGAGTTTGAAAAATTGTTGTTAAACCATCAGAAAACTAATTTTTTTTTTTCAACAAACTTTCACCATCACTCACTCCATCACTGTTTTGCCAGAAGGGAACTGATACCACATTTCAAAAAACTGCAAATATACCCAAAAAACTAACAAAATCTTATAATTATTTACTGTACTGCATATTTTTTCAATGCTTTTCTATCCTCTATGAATAAAAGTGGCATTTCATCCTCGTGTCTTTATATGAGAGTTCACATGCTTCCTCTCAGTCAGTAAGCAGCACATCACTGGAAATCTGGTTGCTGTGTAAAAAGGTACAGGAGGGCTCCACTTTACAGCATTTCACTAATACAGCAGTTTTTAATTATGCCCATTCTTCACTTATTGAACTTCCTACAATAAATGTATTCACCACTCGCTATAAGCTTAAGGAAAGTAATGTGTGTACTGTATAAGCATTTTTTAGGCCTAGCTATATTGCTCACTTAATATGTGATAGTGTAAACATATCAGCCTTTTATATGCATTTGAAAATGAAAAAAAAGGCTATGATTCACTTAACAGATGTTTTCGCTTGACAGCAATATTGCAGAACTTAACCTGCTGTATAACCAAGGCTCTCCTGTATACACACACAAAAATGACACATGACCTAAGTGATCACAGTCTGTATCTTTTTTTATCCACTAATTCTGGTTGTCATCAGCCATACACAGTGCTAATTTTATACTAGTATTTTATCTTTCATTAAGATACTTGGTACTTCATATCAGGTAAAAAAAAAAAATGGCAGATCCTCTTAGTTAGCCTAACTTGATCTAGAATAACTAATTGTTATATTAACTTTGAAATATCTTCAACTTTTTTATATTAGCTTGAATTGTGCCTTTAATGCTGAGTGCAGTATAGATAAGAAATACTTTATTTTCACATGATACATAGTTTAGTAGTTTCCAAATGTCACACTGCCAATAACAAGACAATGCTTAGTTATGGGCAGAGTTCTATTAAGTCTGGAAGTTCTATGCAGATTACAATGGTGGCCTTACAAAGGCTTGTACCACAACATATCTGATAAACCTCTAGACAGAACAAAACAATGTCCCAATAAAGTTCGACAAATATGAAAACTATGTCCCAATGAAAGCTTACGTCTTTTTTTCTGTATTGGCTTTATATATTATATCTTGTATACACCTATTTAAATTATATGTTGAATGCACCTAAGTAAATTATATCTTCTTTGCACCTAAATAAATTATTACATATATTTTGTTGGCACCTACAGTATAAACCACACCCATGCCTGATATGCTTTTGTTAATAAACATTCATATTTGAATTTACTTGATGGGAAAGTGGTGAAGAACAATTCCTCCATAAGCCATGCGTGTCATAAGAGGCAACTATAATGCCAGGAGCAAGTGGCTAGTAACTCCTCCTGTATGAATTACTAATGTAAAAGGAAGAAAAATTTGATGAAAGTGTTTCTTCTTTTTTGGGTCATCCTGCCTTGGTGGAAGATGTCCGGTGTATTAAAAAAAATGGTATTAATACAATTTTTTTTCCTGTCTAGATCACTCATAAATCGATGTATTGTAGTGGACATATCAAGCTTATTTTCCATATCATTACATAATTTACATTATCTAGTTTTTATTGTACATTGAAAAGCCCATAGTTATGTGATGCATTATGAGCAGACCGTGGCCCGTGGCCTGGTGGCTAAAGCTCCCGCTTCACACACGGAGGGCCCGGGTTCGATTCCCGGCAGGTGGGAACATTTCGACGCGTTTCCTTACACCTGTTGTCCTGTTCACCTAGCAGCAAATAGGTACCTGGGTGTTAGTCGACTGGTGTGGGTTGCATCCTGGGGGACAAGATTGAGGACCCTAATGGAAATAGTTAGACAGTCCTCGATGACGCACTGACTTTCTTGGGTTATCCTGGGTGGCTAACCCTCCGGGGTTAAAAATCCGAACAAAATCTCTCTCTCTCTCTCTTGAACTTACAATAAACTAGTTATACAACTAGGGTGATTGACATACTATTTAACTACTTCACAGAAAGCCTCTTATAGAGCATAGCATGGAACGACACACACACAAATGAGTTATGGCTCTGCCTGTAACATCCAAAAACATGTGTCTTCAAGTTTAGTTTAAGTGTACATGAAGAATATTTTAGTACTGGTATGTAAAAAAATTACAGGTAGTAGGTTGGTAGACAGCAACCACCCAGGGAGGTACTACCGTCCTGCTAAGTGAGTGTAAAACGAAAGCCTGTAATTGTTTTACATGGTGGTAGGATTGCTGGTGTCTTTTGTCTGTCTCATAAACATGCAAGATTTCAGGTACGTCTTGCTACTTCTACTTACACTTAGGTCACACTACACATACATGTACAAGCATATATATACACACCCCTCTGGGTTTTCATCTAATTTCTTTCTAGTTCTTGTTCTTGTTTATTTCCTCTTATCTCCATGGGGAAGTGGAACAGAATTCTTCCCCCGTAAGCCATGCGTGTTGTAAGAGGTGACTAAAATGCCAGGGGCAAGGGGCTAGTAACCCCTTCTCTTGTATAAATTACTAAATTTAAAAAGAGAAACTTTCATTTTTCTTTTTGGGCCACCCCGCCTTGGTGGGATACGGCCAGTTTGTTGGAAAAAAAAATATAAAGAAATTTTATTTTGAATTACAATGAAAAAGATTTTATTTTCTTATTAAATTTATCATCTTACAAATACAGTATGTACTGTTCTGTACAGAAACCTTGACACTAAAGATTCTGCCACAGTTGATTACTTCAGTAATATGTCAAAGTAGGTGAAGAGTTATTCACTTATGAAATATACTGATTTTTGGTATTTGAGTCATAACCAGGAGCCCACTATTTGGTAAAGATACTTTAGAAAGCATTTCAGTAAGTCATTCGACCAGCTGGCTGAGTGACTTATGCAATGGGTTCAAACCCCACCCATTCTGTGGTTTCTTTAAAATAGCGTTATTACGATTTTGTGAGTCATACTGAACCATAATTCAACCATTATCATTTTGTAAGTAACTTGCAACTTGCTAAGAGTCAAATTATCATCATGGTGAACCACTAAATGTGTTTAAGGGCCACACAGTATCTGAGGGAATAAAAAGTCATCATGATCGATATCAAGGAAGGGAAAAATAGTTTCAATTCCATGGATTAAGATCCCTTCACCAGTATCAAGGCACCATCCCTTGATGCAGTAATAATACAAAACAAACTACAGTGTTCTCTTAAATATATTCTCTGAATTGTGGGTTAGCTGTAAACTGTTTCAGTTTTTAAAGGTAGAGGCACGATTTCTGGATCAAATGTATTACTGTATGGCATAAAAATAAATAAAATTTTTCTATCAAACTACTTACTATGCAAATTATACTAAAAGATGATTATCCAGAACATTCTTTGTTCTCTTAGCTTGGTTAAGAGAGCAATCACTATTCAAAAAGATACAAGATTCATTAGTGGTTTGATGGTTAAAAATAATGAAAACTTACCAACTACAGTAATAATAAACTTATTTTTCACATGTATATTATGAACAACAGGGAAGATAATTTTGGCAGGAATACAGAAGTAGACAACTGTATGGTCAGTAATGTTGAGGTGTGAGCATCAGCTGGGACTGTAAGGAGGATACAGCTGCCTCTTCCCTGAACCAGATTATGTTAAGGAAAAGCAACCACATTGATGGCTGGCATACTCCACTGCTCTACCTCTGCAAAACTTGCTGTGGATACCTATGTGTTGAGATGCTGAAAGTGTTCTTCAAGTGTTCGGATGTGCTAGTGGTTGGTGTAGTCTTAATAGCTATTAATCACATTTCTCTTTATTATTTAATGTTTCATGTATTTTTTAAAAATCATTTGAAATATTCAATAATCATTTATATTTTCATTGACTTTCCATATAATATTTTAAAAAAAATATGAAATATGTAAGTTAGGTTTTAGCTTGCCCGAAATGCTCTGCATAACCATGGGCTCTGCATGCGCAACCAAATGTCACCCATCCCTGTACAAACATTGCATCATGTGGAAATAAATCTTTGATTTTGACCTTGGTGAAAAAGTTTTAAAAACTTAAGTAAAAAATTAGATTGTACAGTACCGCTTAAAGGAATGCAGCTTACGATGATCAACATTTTCCTTGCAACATTTGACCGTAACGAAAGCACTTAAGTCCTTGAAATCTTCCTCATATAAGCATGGGTCTGCACAATCCACTTCTGGAGCAAAGAGCAGTGAATTCTCATCCACCTTTACTCTCAGGGCACACCTATATTCTTCGTTTGCTAGTATCCCTTCATCAGGATCTCCTGTTAAGATATATGTATAAACAAACTTATTAAAATTTTGAGAGGCAAAATCTCCCTAACCATAACAGGATTTGAACCCCCATCCATACCTCTCAACAAAATCAGATATAATGCACTCCAGTCACTGATCATACAATAATAATGGAAAGATTACCACACATTGTATTTCACCTATTAACTTGTGAACACTCGGACTAACTGTCCAAATGTAGATCTACGTTCTTTTACCCAGTGCTCTGAATATTTTGAAAAGAAAAGAAAAAAAAGAAAATTTTTTTTTTTTTTTAATTGAAGAGGGCAATTTTCTGTGTAATAAGATAAAAAAAAAATTAGGGTCAGTACTTGCCAAGATATAAGATTGCAAAGTTGGCGCTGGATGCTCACCTGACGGCAACATGGAGTCCTGCCGCTTGCAGAAGTGTTGCTGATATAATTTTTTCTCGTTTTTTTAATTTATATAATTTTTGTTCTGATAATTACAATTTGTAGTAGTTCTTGTGCTTTCATATCATGTATTCCCATATCATAATTTCAACAATTACTTTTGAAGCTTTTATCCATTGTCGACAGGAATATAATTGAATCACTGTTTTCACACAAAGCATTTTTGAATACAGGTCCTCCATCACAAATCCGGTATCACTGGGACCTGTAGTGTGCCGGATTACTGAGTTTGCCGGATTACAGAGTGGTTAGGATAGAATACACTTAATAAAATTAACCAACTTGGCTTACACAAAGTTCATTGAACATCAGCAAAAATCAAACATTTCCGCTACTTTGAGCTCAATTTCAAGGTACTTTTCGTCATGTAAACAATCAAAATCATGTCTATTTCTGTAATATATCTTCCATTCTACCAAATGAGTCCAAAAAAAATGAGAATACAACTATAAAAACCATACGAAAATATACTGCAAAGAGGCAGCTAATGGCTGAGACGTGAACTCCCTTATTTATCATCAGTCTTTTTTATTTTTGTTGTATGTTAAGAAGCATCTTTCCATCATACATTGCCCAAGTTTCAATGAGATAGCCCAACAAACAACCAAGAAAAAAAAATATTTACCAAAAATCAAATATGGCAAGCCCAAGCCAGGTACTGGAAATAAGTCACTTTGACTTTTTTAGGTTATCCCAGGTTCTCTATACATACACTGCTATGTATAATAATCTATGTAACTGTATTTGCGTATACCTGAATAAACTATTTACTTCTAGTCTGTCGACTGAGTACACAAGAAACTGCCCATTCACTTATTTCAACTACCCAATAAAGTGGTCAGAAATTGGCAATTTGGCTGATTTCACACAAATTTCAACAGATGCCAATTTCAAAATAGGGTCCAGAATAAACAATGCAGACATTCTTGGCACTACAATAACATTTTCTCTGTTCATTAGTCATGGCTACAGGCCCCTCTTATATTACTCTTGATTACCCTTTGGAATTTTTATTCACAAAAAAATAGAAGATTTACTGTTATGCAGACTGCTACATTATTGTAATAATTGTATAAATAATGTCAACCCATTCTAGACTCCGTATTGGAATTTGGACTGGCAGGCGGACAGGTATTGGACGGTGACGTCATTTGTTTACTCTTGAGCTTCGCTAAAGAATGGAACAGTTTCACTACTGTGAGCACAATTTCAAGGTACTTTTCGACATGAAAGCAATCAAAATCATATCTATTCTGTAATATATCTTTCATTCTATCAAATGAGACCGAAAAAATGAGAATATAACCATAAAAACCATAAAAAAATATACCGCTAAGCGGCCACTAATGGCTGAGAAGTGAACTCCGCTATTTATGGTCTGATTTCTTTCATTTTTGGTGTACATTAAGAAGTATCTTTCCATCATACATTGCCCAAGTTTCAATAAGATAACCCAACAAACAATTGAGAAAATAATAATAATAATAATATCTTTATTTACTACACATACATGTACAAGGTATACAGGCCTAGCTGAGATCAGTGACATACTACTGTACAGAAAGCCACTTGTTATGCAGAGTATTTCAAGAAAATTAGGTCAGTGTCCCAGGATAAGATAAGATAAGATAAGATTTCGTTCGGATTTTTAACCCCGGAGGGTTAGCCACCCAGGATAACCCAAGAAAGTCAGTGCGTCATCGAGGACTGTCTAACTTATTTCCATTGGGGTCCTTAATCTTGTCCCCCAGGATGCGACCCACACCAGTCGACTAACACCCAGGTACCTATTTGCTGCTAGGTGAACAGGACAACAGGTGTAAGGAAACGTGTCGAAATGTTTCCACCCGCCGGGAATCGAACCCGGGCCCTCCGTGTGTGAAGTGGGAGCTTTAGCCACCAGGCCACCGGGCCACCTAAATAACACCCACACTAGTCGGCTAACACCCAGGTAATCATTTACTGATGGGTAAACATAGACAACAGGTGTAAAGAAACACGCCTAATGTTTCTACCCTGGCTGGGAATCTAATATTTACCAAAAATCATATATGGCTAACCCAAGTCAGGTACTAGAAATAAGCCACGTTGACTTTTTTGGGTTATCCTAGGTTCTCTACACATATGCTGCTATGTGTGATAATCTATATGGAGAAAATAACTTTTGTTTCAGGTTTATGGTGCAGTACGAGTGTATATCACAGTTAGCCCTGTGCTACACTCCGTTTTCTCTAATATAAGCCCCAAGACAGGGATAGGAGAATGGTATTTGTATATCATATCCTCTTCATACCTCTGTCGAACTGCTCGGTATTATGCCAAATATTATTCATTCTGGAGTATTTAACATGTTTTATGTTATTTATATTGTTTATTATGTCATATTAGATCAATTGTGATAGGCAAATAAGCTGTAGTGTTGATATTAGCGTAATAATAAAGCATATTCTCCTGCTTCATGAGACTGAGCTCATGGCAACCAACAGTGGCTTCAAAGCCACCTTATCTTCAATGGATAATGTACTGTGTCGGTGCTTTACATAATGAGAAGCATTTCTTTTATTCATTGGAACCGTGGCTAGGGCTAAAAGTAAGCAGGTTATAACTATAAATGGAGAAAAAGTAATTGGAGTGACTTATGCAGCAAGTAGCACCACCAAACAGTACCAGCAGGTTGGTGTGGCGACCCTGGAAATTTGAAATTATGCTAGCCAAAATTAGTGCCGAATAACTGAAGGAACCGAATAACTGATTGCCGGATTTGTGATGGCGGACCTGTATATGAATAGTATATCTCTTGTCTTATATCAATTAGATTCACTTATAATTAATAATCTACTGTACAACTATGATATAATTAATATTCTACTGTACAACTATGATATAATTCTTAGTGTTAAGTAGTCAGTAAGCCAATAATGTTAAGTCAGAACATAATGCCTAGGCATAATAGAGGCTCTCTTTGCATTGCAACCCATTATTGTAAATACATAATCTAATCTCAATGTACTATTTGCAAAGACAAATAAATAAAGTATTTATAGATACCAGCAATGTTTTAGATGATCATGCACTGCCTTGGCTTTATTTGTTTTCACTGTTACACATAAACATGTCTGTATCTGTCTATCTGCCTGTCTAGCTCTATGTCTGTTATCTCTGTCTCTGCTTATCTGTCTTTCTTCCTATCTGTCTGCTTGTCTCTCTTTCTGTCTCAGAGAGAATCGCTCATGAACCATCAGGTATTACACATGATGGAATCACGTCTGATGCCTGAACAAGTGAAAATGCAGATTGCTTGCCAGTCATGCTTATTATGCCTTATATCTACAAGCACAGTATAGCAATTTGTCTGGATTTTTTGGGGTTATCCTAGGTAATTTACCTTATGTATAATTGTATCTATGTGTACCTGTGAAACAGAGAGAGATAGACAACAGAGATAGATACAGACAGACAGACAAGATAGAGACAGCCAAAGTCAGTCAGCCAGGGCACTCAATTGAACTGGTGCTCCCACAAGGTACTAAGTGGTCCCAGATTTTTTTTAATGCTGCACACACCAAGTGTTAAGACCCATTCTATACTGACCAGGCATCTCAGGCCAATCATGCCAAATTTGGAGGCAGGAAAAATAAAATGCTGATCTACATTTGGATCTATGATCTATGTTTGGACATTATGATCTATGTTTGGACAGTTAAGGGGTTAAAATTACAGTAAATTCTCTCATAGCGTGCTCCTTCATGGTTTATTTTTATAAGAATAGTATTCACATTTCTTTTTAATAAATATTATTACACAATTTTGACTGAATATAAGTGATGCTGAGTTTACAAATCATGGCTCAGGTATGAAAACATTTCTGTTCAGAGATTTATGGACATGGGAAAAGATTGGTGACTATAAACCTTATTAGGAGAAGGCGTGGAATTTATAAAAGTATTAGTCAGAGGACTGAAGAGGGGTTGTTGAGGTAGTTTGGTCATTTAGAGAAAATGGATCAAAGTAGAATGACATGGAGAGCGCATAAATCTGTAGGGAAAGGAAGGCAGGGTAGTGGTCGTCCTCAAAAAAGTTGGAGGGAGGGGGTAAAGGAGGTTTTGTGGGCGAGGGGCTTGGACTTCCAGCAAGTGTGCATGAGTGTGTTAGATAGGAGTGAATGGAGACAAATGGTTTTTGGGACCTGACGAGCTGTTGGAGTGTGAGCAAGGTAATATTTAGTGAAGGAATTCAGGGAAACTGGTTATTTTTATATATCCGGACTCGAGTTCTGGAAATGGGAAGTACAATGCCTGCACTTTAAAGGAGGGGTTTGGGATATTGGCAGTTTGGTGGGATGTGCAACAGGACAGTATATATATATATATATATATATATGTAATTGGGGCTCTGATATTGTAATTATTTCAGGTCACTTTTTATATTGTATCTTTATATATGCTTCTAAACTGTTGTATCTGGGCACCACTGCAAAAACAGTGATTATGTATGAGTGAAGTGAAAGTGTTGAATGATGATGAAAGTATTTTCATTTTGGGGATTTTCTTTCTTTT